AAAAAAATGTCTCCTTTGTTTTTTATCTCTCGCTCAAGATCTCTGTCGCCCTCTTTCTCTTCGAGTTTCGCTGGCCTGTCGCTTTTTCACTTTTTCTCTGTCTTTCTCTCGCTCTATACTCCAAATTTGTCGACATGACAATTAATCTAAGCTTAATACTTTAGAAAACACGGATAAAGAAACAATTTCCGCTTTCCGCTATCGTCTTTACTGACTCTTTAGATGCCTCTGCTTTACAAGACGCGGGTGGCTATGCGATTTCCCGCCAAAATAACCTCGAGTTGCATTTGGGTCAACATACCTGTTGATTGAGTTATTTTACATTGGTATGCCTGTGGTGCGGACGGACGGTCGGGCGTACGGTCACGTGATTACCAAATTTTCTCGGATGGGTAGATTACCACATTTTCTTACCCATGGTGCTCCGCTGCGCGCGCTTCGCGCACGAGAGCTCCGCTACTAAGCAGAGTTTAGTTATCGTCTGCACGTAGGCTAGTCTCACGCGCGACCAAAAAAACCTATTTTTCAGGCAGAAAATATCGAGGAAGAGGGCTGGAGGTAAGGTAACCTCCTCCCAGGGGGGCAGAGCTTTTCCCTTATAATATGAAATAGGAAAGGGAAAGCCCTAGGACGAAGAAACAGGAATCTTATCAGCATACGCAAGTGTTTCTGGTGCCGAATGATGACTCCACTTCAAGGCTGAGTCCAGATTAGGCGAAACGAATTTGAAGAGTAATGAAGCAAGAGATCAACCTGAAGAGAATTTTAACAAGTGCCCCGAATTAGACTGGCCGTTTATTTTCGACTTGCCATAGCGTCTTTTTTTTTTTTTTTTTTAAAAAAAAGAGTTTAAGTACGAGGTCTTTGATAAGGAACTAATTTTTAATTACCATGGAAATAAAAGTTATTTTGGAAATGGTCAAACTATAGATACCACTTGATGTTTATTGATATAGCCATGTATAGACATCGGTATATCAGACAAAAGGGAATCTTGAACAGAATCTGACAAGGTCCTTTCCTTTGTACTTGTTTTTTGTCTGTCCTGTTATGTCACTGAAAAGGTTTTTGAGTTTTAATATCATTTAAGAGTCTCCGAGACTTTCTAACGTTTCATTACCCGGCCATTCATAACTAACACGAAAGTACAGGCGTAATGCGAAACTGTGGCATTTATACAGCTTGAACTGCTACGTTTTCTAGTAGACCCACGTTATCAGGATGACAAATCTCAAACAACGACACTCAGCGTGGTTTACGTGCATTAAAGTTGTCTCGTGCATGCAGCCACTACTCTTTATCACTCGGATACCGTGCTGATTGTGGTGGTATACACGGTACTCATGTTATAAGATAGAAATGATACTAAAATTCTCAAGGAATCGTTTATTTTGCTGATTAATGTAAATTTTAATCACGCTACTCTTGCTCTTTTTCGTTTTTTATAAATGTTATCACTAAACTATTACTAAATACCATGAATGACTCAATAAAGCAAGGTTGTGCCGGTGGGGATTCTACTATAATCGTAATAACCACGAAAAATGAATGCTGTACGCTACTAGAAATACCGTAAAATTCCGAAAATAAGCCCCTCCATGTATAAGCCTCTCCAAATATAAGCCCCCCAAACCGGTAACGCAACAAACCCTCCGTTAAATCGCCCTTCCAAATATAAGCCCCCGGGGGCTTGTACTTGGAAAACTGCCCTCAAATACAAAGTAAAACAAAGCAAAAACGGCAAATTTACTTTAAACTATAAGGCTAGTCCAATCGATTTTGAAACGCAAATTTCCCTCCGTAGAGAAGCCCCTCCGAATAGAAGCCCCTCCAAAAATAAGCCCCTCAAAAAGGGCCTTTGAAGAATATAAGCCCCGGGGCTTATTTTCGGAATTTTACGGTATATAAACCGCTCTCTTTTATCTTATATTACTTATGCATAGCTTACACTGAAGGGCAAAAACACTATAATACACGAACAAAAAATCAAGAAAAAAGTCACGTCGGATAACAATTATGTACAGTTTAAATACGTGACATGCAAAGGTGCAAATTAACAACACTGACTGTAATATTCTCAGCATTGTCACTCACTAAGATTAGGTGAAGCGTATATGGAAACCGTTTAAGAAAAGAAAATTTAAAAAAAATGAAAAAAAATGAGGAAATTCCATCACTTTATATCCGCTATAAAATCGCTCAATAAAAGTCATCTAATGTGTCTTTGTTATATCTAAATTGGCTTCTTGAACCTCTGACACAAAAATATCAGAAAAACTGATTTGACTGCAAAGTGTTGTTTGCTTTCAACAAAAAGCCCTCAGCATTTCTAAAATTCAATATGACGGACAGTTGAGAATATCACCTCAGAACAGTTTCAAGTTCTGCACATACGCTGGCCGTGAGCCTCTAATTATAGAGCCTCTAATTCTAGGAGATGAATAGAAAAGATGCAAACAGTGGCGTCTACAATAATTGCCACTTTTAATAGTGCAATGATATATCTACTTATAAATACAGCTCCATTATGAAAAGGCAGCATCATGAAAAGTTGAAAGCATGCAAACAGTGGCGTCGACAATAACTGTTCTTTAATAGCGTATTGATATATCTACCTATAAGTATTGCACCATCATGAAAATATCTGAGAAGTCAGCAAAGGCATCATTATGAAAAGTGACCAAAGTGTAGCAGTATTAGCTTTCATTTTAGTCATTGTCATAGCCATTAACCAGATCAACAGTGTGGATAGTAACTGCAATCTATGTTACTATTCAACTACTCTCCCACACCCCAGCCCCCCCCACCCGAAAGATGGGTGAGTTGCTGGCGTTGTGTATAACGTCACTTTTTGAGGAGTTGAACCTATTCTTCCAAAATGGTTGGTAACTTTCTTCGTTTTTCGACGACAATTTCGGACATTTGACCTTTTTGCAGAGGATAACATTGTTCCCCATCTGTGTGAGCGTCCATTCTCTTCAGAACTTCACTTAGCTTTTTATCAACGACATAGGCTTGTGGAAGATTACGGATCAAGTCGATGGTCCTTAACTGGTTGCTTATTTGGTCGTAAAACGGAGAAGTCAGAGACAAGTCCACATTCTTCGCTTCATGTTGTACGTTTCTTCTGTTTGGAATTTGGGTCTCTGATGGCTCTTGTTCTGTGTTCATCTGTGCTGTACTTTTTGCGTCACTGACTGCATCTTCCAAGGAACTGATGAATAAATTCATCAGTATAACAGTTATAATAACCAGAAGAGTACTGACAAAAAAACGTCCAAGGACGGAATCTGCTTCAATTAATTCTTGTATGGGCCGAGCTTTTACTTTCCCTAGAACAATTTCCAGCTGGTAGGAAAAAGCTGGCCAGACACTTGAGTATCTTTTATTTCGTGTTCCAAACAGCAACATGCCTGAGAGTAGGAATGCAAAGAATGGAACACAGAGAACCATCAAGAAGGAAAAGAATTCTCGTACCCAAATACGCAAGGCTTGGGCGAACACACGTGTATACATATTAAAGTAAGTAAGTTGGAGAATCTTGATGGTTGTAAGAAAAATCACAACGGAGAGGAAAGAGTTTTCGATATTTCCCCACAAAACTGCAGTTTGAAAGTTAACTGTAGCAAAGATGTTGTGCCGCAATTTCTGCATGCTTTTGGAAATTTGATAAGACTTAATAAAGCTGCAGAGAAGAAGAGAAATTGAGGTTGCAAGGTGTCCAAGGTCAAGCCAGCACCAGCCACTTCGCAGGTAACGCGATCCTTGTTCTAGCAAGGCCATAACTGTCTGACCTGATTTTAAGAAAACCATTCCAATGAAGATGACCAAGCAAAGACCTTGAAACATTTGGAGGATTGAATCCGTGTTGTGCAGGGAGATCAAATCAATATGCATCAAAGGTGTAGCCTGGCCTGTCTGAAGGAATTCAAAAAAGAAGGAACAGACACCTAATACACTGACTGCTGGGTTAAAGAAATTGAATTCTACAATGACAGCTCTTGTCTGACGATCAATCCATTTTCCAAATTGCAAGTGGTTTATGACCGTGTAAGCAGTGTGTGCCTCGTAGCCTAAATCGGCAGCATATCCTCCCCCACCATACCAGGTGTGGTGTCCCCATTTGGGGGAGGAGTTTAGTTCCTCCGATGTTTGGTACACCCATGGAAGGGAACATTGTTGGAACTGAACTGATGAGTTTGCTTGCTTCAATTGAAACAGCTCTTGGGATTCCCTCCCGGTGGAGTAGCTGTCGTAGCAACTTTGATGCCATGAGTCCACGTCAAGGAACGTTCGCACAGGGCATTGCACTAACAACAAATAGATTACAGCTTATAAATAAAGGTGGGATTGGAGGGTTCGTATACAGGATGAGCCATAGTGAATATTAATTCAAAATGTACTCTGGTTAAAAAAGGAAGCAAACAATGTCGCGCACTATTTAACTTACCGTCTTCGGCGGGGACTGAAGTGAAATGATAAGAGGGTGACGAAATGTTTCTACATAACGAAAAGAGTGACTTATTATACTGTCCAGGGAGTGGGGAAGACCTGTTGTCCGTTATGGAGTTCCCATGGAATGTCTAGCTTCCAACACCTTCTGTGTCCGAAAAACTAACTTTGTCAAAATTGCACGTAGAGTTATTGTTATACATCATACAGCTCATCAATTTTAATTAAAATAATTTACTCAAACGTTCACTCAGCCATTCAGTGTAACGTACCTTTCTTTACTCTCAGCTGGCGCAGTCTGATCATTCCAATCCTAGTCGATGTTTGTTCTGCGTTGAGCACTTTGTACTGTTGTATTTCCAGGTTGGTGAAGTACAGTAGTGGAATAAGGTCATGGGCCATCCAATTCCAGAACAAACTTGGATTTGAAACCTGAAAAAAGGATTTGGTTTAAAAAAGTATCCAAATTTGTATACTTAGTTTACACTAAGCAGATTGCTGTTGCTATGACTACCGCTATTACCACCAGCACCACTATTACTCCGCACCACAACCACCACCACTGCTACTGCTACTGCTCTTACTTTGATCTGTTCCTGTTACTGCTTCTATTGTTTCAGGATTATCTAGGAGAACCCTTAACGTTACGACATGTTTGAACCTGTTAGTGCTTAATTCAAGAATATTTATGGACCTAAATGTGATTGAAAACGGTGCCGAGAATGGTGACCCTGAACTTGAGCAAAGTTTGTACCTTGGAAAAATTCCCAATATGATCATAAAGAGATCTTGTTAAATGGTATCCATTAGAATCTTTGTTTCCATATGAAAGCACTCCGAGAACAACCAGGAAGGTTACATAGAAGATTGCCTGCCTAATGGATAACCGACGTTTAGCTTTGACGACACTTTCTTTCCTCAGGCTTGATTTCTCCCTGGATCTGGTACTTGCTTTCTCTAATGGCGTTTCTTGAAGCCCATAGGAGGATACTTTAGTTGCTTTGCATTTAGAAAGCATAACAGTCAGTGAGACAATAATAACACATTTAAACGGCTGCACAATCAGAATGTCTTCAAAGACAGAGGCGATGACTGCAGAAATCCATTCTTGGCTTTTGTCTTTCCCCCACACGAGACCATATGAAATATTTAAAGCTGCGGATGCAGTAGTCATAATTGCAATCAAAATAGAAGTGAGGCATATTAAACAAAGACGTGTGCGCTCTCCTTGCAATCGAGCCAAGGTGTTTTTGAACAACATGATGAGGACTTGCAAAGGCAAGAGGATAAGGTTGGCTTGGATACTCACAATCGCCTGTCTCGCAGAAAACTTTAGTGGACCTAGATTAATATTTTGGGGCGACTTTGCTCCCCAGGAGTAAAATGCAGCATTGGTAGCCATTGTACATAAAAGTAATGCAAAACAAAAGGAGAGTCTTTGAACTCTGGTAAAGCTGTCATTTGGAATCTTCGTTATGATCGATAACCAAAGGTGGCCATTGGAGAACATTTCTTTGATGGCTTTTCTTGTGATGTTCGGATTTGAGTGGTGAGGAGTTTGAAGAACTTCGTTAGTGTACGATTCATCCTCCAGGCTTAGCCATGTTTCAAAGATGAATTTCCAACAGTTTCCAGATCTTGGATCTGTAATTTCTATCTCATCTAAATACCACGAAGGGTCCTTGCCTGAATTGTCATGCCAAATACGTAGTGAATAAATGTCTCCTATGTCTTCTTTTAGAGTCATTGTAAGCGTTTGTGTAGATCCTCGGGTAAGAATTGTTGTGGAGCCGGCTGTACCGTCCTGGTATATATTGATAGTACCACTGTTGCCATCAACCCCGTGTATAATAAACGAAACGTTGGCTGTTGTTCCTGCACCAAGCCAGACGCCAGTCTTTAAGGATATCAGATATGTTGAACCTTCTGATTGTAATGTTCCACAGTTTAAGGATTTTTTATCTTGTAGCTGAAATCAGGAGTGAAATAATGCTTTGTTTATATGTTTGCATGTGCACCATTCAAATAATCAAAAGCAAGTAATTATAGAGCTAGTAATAACCAACAATTAGGGAGTGTGGGCGTCATCGATCTAAGGTCAAAACGCTCTGCTTTGTGTAGCTTCCACTGGATAGAAGATCTAAACACATGCCATCAGATAGCCTGTTCCAGGCGTTCAGATCGTGGGGATAGCGCAAAGAGATGTGAGCAGAAAAAAAACAGCGAGGGGGTGGGTTAGAGGGTCCTCCGTTTTTTCCCACTCTCTTACTTCGCGCCGCACTCCATTATCCGAACGCCTGGAACAGGCTAGCTATCAGATTATAAGTGATAGAAGATCCAAACGCGCTTCATCAGATTGCGTTTTATGCATTCCAATCATTGTTACTGGAAGTCCAAGAGAACGCGTTGCTCGCTACCTAAGTGCAGTGCATATCATGCATATTAGCAAGCTGGAGATTAGAATTGCGGTCGCCTTTGGTCGTCCGTAACAATTAAGCTTATGGGGTAGACAAACCAACTGGCCATGTAATTACAAACGTGCTCGGTACTACGGAGAGAAAAATCCAGGTACTGGGCAGAAAGGGACTGAAAGCGTAACACGTTGACTCCTGTGCCCCGTTGCCTCCACTAAATGGTAGGGCGAGCAGTGAATAAGGCGTGAGTGCTATTCAAGCCTTACGTTGAACTTATTAAGCTACCTAGTAGGTAAATCGTGGATGTAAATATCTTACCACCGAGCTATCTTTTATGTCAGCTCTCCTGGCCAAAAGGACTGCCACGAAGTAAACAAGGAAACATGTTAACACTGTTCCCAAAACTAGAAATTTGCCAGGTTCTTCTGGAGACGTTAACTGGTGATATACTTGCTCAAAGTTGATTTGATTTGGTGGTATTAGGAAGCCTCCCGCAAAACTCGTCAAGTGACTGCAAGAGCACTTAAGTGTAGAGTCCTTGATAATTTCCAATGCCTTAAAAGTAGTAATATAAGGAATTATTCTTGTCCTGTTCAGTGAAACGTTCGTGGCTTCTCTGTTTTTGTTCACTCGAGAAAAATGTTTAAATGCGCGGCTAGGTAGAGGTGTAATTGTCTTATTTCAAGAGGAGATTGGCGGACGAATTGAAAAGTGAACGGGAAATGTAAATCACTTTATAAAAAGACCATTTCTTAGCTGATTTGCATATCACAAGCTATGCGACTCATTCTGTTTCTAATTAATAATATGACAAGATAATATAGGAGGAGTAAAACAATACTTAAAGATCTAATGAAGCACTAGGCAAGATTTAAGCGGATTTCTATATGTATTCGTTTTTGATTTCGGGTTGAGTTGAACGCTTTCCAAAGTCGCAAAAATAGTGTCCAGGTCAGTGTGGTCTCAAAGCCTGTGTCCCTTTAAGAAAAAGATACTTTCTTTACCTTACATCCAGTAGTTCTCCATTTAGATTGATTTTGTTGCCAAAAGAGACAAGTTGATTCGCTCATTTCAAAAGTGTAACTAACTTTCGCTTTCTTCGGGCGCGAAGGAGGTTGTCTGATCTTGATACATCCGTTGTCATTACCCTCCCATTCATCAACGTTTCCAGAACTTTCTGTGACGACTTTGAAGTCTATATAGAGAACATAAAATCCAGCATGGAATGCCCTAAAAGAGATTTTTATTTGATTTTTTCCCTCACATGTGATTCTACCGCTGATGAGCCAAGCACCCCGTGCCCGCTTGCATTCGCGGGGCGGAGAAGTCTTAAGAGGTTCCGCTATTTTTATGGAGGAGACGGCAACGTCACTTTCTTCAAGGATTATCCAGATTTCAACCGTGGAATTTTCATACAGACGTCCTATTTTGTGATGTCTGAGCGTTCTATCTGCTCCGAAAGAAACGTTTACTGGATGACTTGTCTGTCGATTCAGAGGTAGTAAAATAGTGACTCCTGGTGTCAGACCAGAAATGAGGATCTTTTTCCCTTCCGCATCCCGAACATCTAAACTCGCCACGTCTGCTGTTACCCTTTTGCTGGTTTTATCCCAAGTAAAGGGATTGAAGGGTGTACTCCACATCTAGGAGAGAAACGTTCACCATAAAAAAATTATACGGTAAACTCTAAATTTGATCATACAAATAATAATTATAATAACAATAATAATAATAATCATCATCATCATCATCTTCATCATCATCAACTAATGTAAGAGAAACCAATTTTAGTAGATCAAATCTGTGATTTGAGCTAATAAATAAATACGTGCGCCAGTCTGTCTTAAATAACCATCATAGTTGTCGAATAGGCGCTTCCCTGTAAAGTTAATACCAAGTTATTGTTTCCTTCAAATAATGAAATTTTTCCATATGCCACTACAGCTCACAACACATACAACCCTGGCCAACAATGTTAAAAATATAGCGAAAGTACGAAAGGTGGATTTATCGTACCTCTAAAAACAGAACGTAGCTGTCGTTCATTTTGCTCAAGACTTTGTTGAGATCAGGGATTATAAAGCTGCTTCTATGTGCATCAAGTCTGTAACCATGGTGAATGTCTTTTTTTTGTATGGAAACCACCGTTATGCTAAGATATTTCGATGTGAAAGATATGTTTCCTGGGCGCTTTTTCAATGATAGGCGAAATCCTTCAATCATATGACTCTTCAAAGATAGGATTTTTTTGGTAGTGTTGATTTTCTGAGGAGGGAATATAAACAAAGTGAGAAAATAAATTACTTAGTAGGTGAAGATAAGAAACTGCTCCCAAGGACGCGACAATTGAGCAGAGACTCGCGCAATAATTGTTGGCAATTAGGTCAACAAATGCATGAGACGATGTTTTCTCGATCCCTTGGTTGAAAAAAAGAAGTAAAAAAGGGTTGTTAATGTTTTGATTGTACTGGGGCGCCTCTTGAATCGAGGATACGTGAGGATGGTGTCACCTGGGAGAAAATAACTTTCATGGAGGTGGAGAGTGTGTTTGTCTTTAGTGTTTCGTCAGCGGAATCACGAACGCGTGAGCTAGTGAGCTATCAGATTGACAAGACTTAAGTTATCCAGAGGTCGTTTGCAAATATCTTCTCCCTCTTTTTACTCTCTGATAAGTTGGGCAAAGTTAAGTTACGTTGGAAATGTTTCCGACTTAACGCACACACAAATCTTTAAACGATTGGTGATATACCGGTAGTCAAAGAGTCAGGAAAGCGGATGTGTTAGCAAAATTGTGCTGAGGAGAGATATTCAAAAACGCGACTTAACAAATCAGTCGCGTTTTTGCACTTGGCAAGGTCTCCCTCTGGATAATTTTTAAGGATTCTTTTTTTCAAAGATGAAACTTTATGTTACTGCATACCATTTTCTGTAAGGGCTTGTCTTGATTTGCGAAATAAGCATCTCTTGAACTAAGCGTCAATAGTTTTCCAATGCTGTAAATAATGTTTTCCGTCAGCAGAGTCAAAGTTGAGCCAGATTTTGATGTAGTTGCTCTAAACCGTTTGCGCACATTTGCAACCAGTTTTTGCAAAGTCATATGCATTACCTGCAAAATTTCAATCGTTGAAAATAGAAGACAGTCAGATTGAAATGAATTGGCCGAAATGGGAATTTTAAGGGATTTTTGGTTGGCGCCCGTTGACAGTAATTCTATGAAGTAGAGGCAGGATAATAATTAAATTAATGTACTTCGTTGAAGGATAGGGCGGATTTCTTAAATAAGATTTCCCCGCATTCTGTTCATGAGATAAAGATAGAAAAGGCTATGAAGTCATCGGTGTTATGTATTCCCTGCAAGGTAATGAGATTCCCCCACAACACACTCTCTAATAAGTGAAAAATGATATTCCTAAATCTGCCCAGAATAAACATGTTCTCAAGGTACCTACTTAGTATTTTATCTGTTATCTGTCATTTAATAAAACAAAATGATAACTTACAACTAAATCAGTCGAATTTATTTCCAGTCGATCAACTATGGAACCAATGAGCAATGAAATCGAAAGAAGATCGTTGATGGTTTCCAGTTTTTGTCTTAAGAGAAAATGAAAAATTGGCGTTTTAATCTGTGAAAGAAGACAATTACAGTTTGAATTAAAACAAAACAGAAGACAATAACTATTAGAGAATTTTCTATGATATAGCTAGCACTTTCCCCAAAAGCGCCCTCCCGTTTCTCTAAAACGGAGACTCTGAGCGGACATTACAGCAAAACCTTTGGCGTCAGTGGTAGTCGAAAATATTGACCACTACTTTGCTTTCCAGTACTGGATTAAATATGAGTGTCTTTGTTGTTCTATATGAAAAGTCATTTAAAAAATTGATCCCCTCGGAAACCACGGTTTTATACTGTCCTTCTCCAATCTGGTTGGCAGGATTACAGCACGTTAACCTTATTGGAGACGCTGTAAGTGCAGACAAGACACACGAAAACAATGAGTTTTGATAGTACCAGTTTACTGCATGGGCAGAAAGTAGCCATCTATTTTGAACATTTTCCGTAAATGGAACAGATTTCTCTCTAACCTTGTGACATGTTTTGAGATCTGTGTAATTAGATGTCAAACGTTCTACCATCGCCAGAAGAACCAAACTTGCATTCTCGCTCTGGTTTAACTTCCTAATCCATTCATCGCATTTTTGTGAAGAAGAGGGTCGAACCTAGTAAGTGATAAAATAGTTTTTTAATATTTATTTTTTAACGAAACTCATTGTAACTGTAAGATTATTTTTCCTCGAAGTAGCTATTGATTTGGCCTTTTAAAAATCCATTGTTTTCTATCCAATAGACCTATTCGGCTAACTCAATGTTGTACCTAATTCAAACCATTCGGAAATAAAACGTTTTGTTTCAGGAATTTACATATCATTTTTAAATGTGGTATTCGCATTTAAAAATGCGAATACCACATTATAATGCAAATGTTCAGTGTAGCGGCCAAAAAAAGGAACCTCTTGAGACATGACTGTATCAATTTGCTGCTTAGTACAAAGAGTCTTTTAAAACCCTTTTGCTAAGTCAACGTCAATCAAAAAAGCGACCTGTGGACGAGAATTCTCCAGTAGTTCTGTTAATTTAGAGCTTTTTCTAATTACTGACCGCACTGAGCTTCTTATTTTTTATCAGGGCTGGAAGGGTTCCTAAGATGTTTGACATGACTAAGGGTCTTTGTTATCCATGATTCTAGGTAAAATAATACTTATAAATCTTACAGATGTTTGTCGCCCCATTCCGAAGGTAATTAGTTAAAAATCAAATTATGCACTGAAGCACACGCACCAACTCCGCGGTGTGGCCAGTACCTTACGCATGCACAAAACCATATCAGTATATATCAGTGGCAGCCATGGACAGCTGTTTCTCCCTTATTAGGGTACATCAGCATGTCATAGCCGTCGATTCAATGAGTGGGGGTAAAAGTGAGAGCGTGCTGGCTATGCCATAATGATGAGACGTAACAAGAACGAAACAGCTGTCCATGTCTGCCACGTTGCAAAGCCGGGGTGATATGGCTGTGCACATGCTAAGGTACTGTCCATACCGCGGAGTTGGAGGTGTGTGCTTTAGTTCATAACTGTGATCTTAATTAGTTAAATGTCTACATCTAGTATTCATATACATATCGAGTCCATAATTCACAAAAGCCACACCTTGATCAGGCATTACCGTCACTCTAAACAGCCCTTACCAAGACATTTAATTCCTGTTTTATTGTTGTTCCATTTACAAAATGGATTGTCGTAGTTATGTTAGAAATGCCATGGATTAGTATCGTACGGAAGTTGCTCATATTCCCTTTATATAGTATGCCATGAAGGCCATTTTGAAGCGTGTACTGCAATTCGTATGCTGAAGGACGTGAACAGGAAGAAGTCCAGCCAGAGCAGTTAATGTGGAACGTTGTAGTGAGACTTTGTCCTTCGGATGGTTGAATAATGCATTTCGCTATTTATGATGTAAATTAATAAAATGAACACACGATAAGAAATATTGTTTCACCTACGCTGGGAGTGATCAATGCATCCAATATGCAGAGCGAATTGAAATACAAATGAAAAGATAATGAGTCATAACTCAGGGTTTCACGCACCAATTAATCATCGCTTAGTGCGTGAAACTCCGAGTTACAACTTTTCATCCTCTGTATTTGTAAATTAATTTATATAAATTTACACAAGTATTAACATTTGTATTTTATGCTCCTGTTATGGTTTTTAAATATTGTTTGTGGAGAATTAAAACTTGGCTAGACTTTGTGCATCGTTTGAACGTGTCCATCGTCCTACAGTGAGAGTGTGCGTTTGTTTGCCAATAAGTCACTCGTAGTGCCACTAATTTTATTGTTATTCTGGAATGCGACTAATAGAATTCAGATATGGTATTTAATACCTTGAGAAGATGTATCATAAGGATAAGTTAATGAGACATAAAATGTACACAAAGATTCGCCAATAGAGCGTTTTCACTCCCCGACGTGGCCAGCGGGTATGCAAATTACTGGAACAAACGAACGTTTCATGGAAACATGGCTGCTGTTTCATTATTTTGGGACACCGATATGGCGAACGTGACATCGTGAAATGAAAACGCCCTACAGGATTAAAGAATAAATCTATTATTGGATTCTAACAGTAATTGTTCTGTGACTGAGACCACAATTGTAACGATAACAACAACAAGAACAACAACGACAACAACAAAAACAACAATATAGACTTCTGAAAGTAAACAAGATCAATGAACGGTATTGGCAAATTGCAAAAAATGTGGACGATGCTGCAGTATTGTTGAGGTAAAAAGATCAGTCAAGTTACTCCACGTGCGTCTTACCAGTAAATTGAGCTTAATTCTCAATCTTTTGCTCATAATCCCTTTTTGTTTTTTAATTAATCATATTACTTTACAGCGTTTTATTTATTGACTCTTTCTTTGACCTACGGGACAATTATATGTATATGTGTATATATATTGAGGTCACACAGTGATGCAATGGATATGTAAATAAACGTAAACAGTTGAGTGCATACCTGGTGTTGTGGGTACTGCTTGAGATGAAGTACAACTTACAGTTGAACCAGTGTGGGTCGATGTTGTAGATAAGATTGGAAGAAATGTGGTCGATGCTGCAGTATGGTTGAGGTAAAAAGAATTAGTCAAGTTACTCCACGTGCGTCTTACCAGTAAATTGAACTTAATTCTCAATCTTTTTCTCATAAGCCCCTTTTGTTTTTTAATTATTTTTTTTTTAAATTAATCATACTATTTTACAGCGTTTTAGTTATTGACTCTTTGAGCTACGGGACAATTATATGTATATGTGTATATATATTGAGGTCACACAGTGATGCCATGGATATGTAAATACAATGTAAACAGTTGAGTGCATACCTGGTGTTGTCGGTACTGCTTGAGATGAAGTACAACTTACAGTTGAACCAGTGTAGGTCGATGTTGTAGATGAGATTGCAAGAAATGTGGACGATGCTGCAATATGGTTGAGGTAAAAAGAATTAGTCAAGTTACTCCACGTGCGTCTTACCAGTAAATTGAGCTTAATTCTCTTCTCAATCTTTTATTCGTGAGCCCCTTTGTTTTTGAATTAATCATACCATCTGTCACCTCCGGGACACTCACGTACGGTGTCGCTGTTTTCTTTAAGCGTAACTGCTTCCAATTATAGAAGTAATGTTTACACCCAAGAGAGGATAAAGGGGACAGGGAAGGCATCCCTCATACACACCCTATTCCTAGGTAATTCGCCTCGAGTTATTTTTAAGACCATAGATCCCAAGGGGGATTAGACAACAGCCAATCATATAGCGCGAATGTGTTCTGCGTGGATGACCCACGCTCAGAGCCAAGTGTCCTTCACGAATTGACGCAGGAAAAAATTGGCAGAAGACGCGGAGAGCGATATTGCTATTTGTTTTAAAACGACTAAAGAGAGATTTCTGCTAAAGCTGTGGCAGCGAAACGGAAATTAAAAACGAATCGCGCTTCCTCTCTTGTATAGAGCTAACAACACAGCAGGGAAATCCTTAACACACTGAATATTCTCTCAGGATCATTAATAATTTACAGTTTGAGGAGAGCAATTTCTGGTTTGATATTAATTCTTTTATTAATCTTTTATTATTCAACGAAAATAACACTTGACGTCCTACTTGCTTCATTATACATGCGACCGGTTTCAATAGACCGGCGAAATTTCTCATTTTGTTAAAGCACTGAGGTTACGACAACTTCGAGTTAAACTGATTTCACGGGTTGTCAAAGATTCCAGCGATTCCCTTTTTCCAAGTAGCGCCGACTCGCTTCAATATTCAGAAATGCTCTCGATCTCTTTACGCTTTCATTGCCTTTCGCCCGACATGTTTTGCACGGTGTTTAGTCATACGAAACCTCCACGAAACATCCACGCAGCGCGCGAAGTGACTTTATCCCGATTCTAAAAATAACTCGAGACGAATTACCTATAGAATAGGGTGTTTATGGGGGATGCCTTCTCTGACCCCTTTATCCTCTCTTGTTACACCATATTACCTGTGTCAGCGAATGAAGCTAAAACTAGAAGCCTAATTGAAAGGGGCAATAGGTTTACACTGCCAATTAAATCTTACAGCGTCAAAAAACAGGATGTATCAGTAGTAATAGAGGGTCATTTTACGACGTTTTGGTGCATAGGTATAGTTACATCAAGAATACAAGATGTTTTAAGTCATCTTTCCCAAGCGGCGTCGGAAAAGCGTGCTTCTGAATTGCTGCATAGTATGGTCGCTTCCCAAGATATTCTTTTCTGGACTTCCCTCGGACAATTACAGTACAAGTGAACTTCGAAATAAACGTATAATTCCCGTCACAAACACCGCCGACCTAGTTGAGTATGTGTTACTCCCTCATAACAATAACGTTACCAAGCCTCGTGCGCTGAATACGTTTCTAGATGAACTTGCAGAGTTAGGATTCGATAAAAGTTTAATCAAGAACAAAAAGTTGCTAAGTGATTTAATAGAAAAGGGAAAAGGCTACCGAAATGCAGAAGATACTTCCGATAACGAGAGTAATATTGAGGAGAGTTCATCGGATATTGAAAATCAGGAGGAGCAGGTGGAGGAGGAAACCAATTTCTTTGCCCCTTTTTAAGAGGAGAACGAAGAAGAGGAATATTGATTTCCATCCTTTTCAAATGGCTGTGTATTTTAGTCTTTTTGCTATTGTTTTTTAATAAAGTTTTCAAAACGGTCTCTCTTGTCTGGTTTTATTGCTTGTGTTTATTAGTCGCGTGTTTCAATTGACCCTTGTTAAATTATTAATTGTTTTTATAATAATAAGTCAAGGTCCTACCTTGGGGTTTTTTGTTGTAGAGATACTTTGTATGCAACTGTGGACTTGTTAACTCGCATAATTAACTGACTAAACGGTGTATGAAACTACAAGACTTTAATAGTTTTTCTTTCCTCGAGATATAAAGGAGAAAACGGTTTTGTAATAGTCAGACAAAATTGAAATAGAGAGTTTTCAGCCCCACTTTGTGTATATGTGAGTATGTTTTGTTAATATGTCCGATTTTTAGCGCTAAGCCGCTTCTCGCGTTGCTAGGTGATCGCTCCTTTTATTTCATTTTTTTTAATCGACGGTCCGACAAACCGGGCTAAAGTTATTTAACGGGCAAGTCTGCGCAAGCCTATCGTTGCTATTGAACGAATAAGAGAGACGCTCATTAGTAAACCTACACCGAATTAGTATGCATGAAAGTATATGAATATTAAGGATTTACATATACCTAAACCTATACCTATACACCAAAACGGCGTAAATGACCCTCTACCACTACTTGTATCAAACTCTTACGATTTACGTTTTAAAATGAAAATAAGGTGAATATTTTACTTAACACCTTAATTTAAAGGTTGTTACCAATTGTTCAGAGGACAGGACATCACCATCTTATAGCTTAATCTGAGTTTTTTGATTTACATAGGATGGACTGAATGATACTTACTTTGCTGTGTGGGTGTGACGCTGAAGCGACGTGATGGACTTGAAAAAGACGAACTTGAACCCCAGTGATATGGATTTGTAGGAGGATATATCTCCACATTGGCCCCTCTGGTGTTATCTGACATGAAATTGATAAATAAGTTAGATTTTTTCCATTATTTATACTTCGTCAGACATTATAACCATTGGTTAGAAAAGATGAAAAGCTCACGCCCCAATCCGCAGCGGGATGGATATAATCTAGCGGGTCTTCTCTGACCAGAATTGTAAAACACAAAACAAAAATGGTCAAATATCGGCAAGAAATAATCGCGTATACTTTTAGATACTACACCCGGCAACATATTCGACAACTTCTTTCGTACCCGTTCAATGACAATAAGTCTCCTTATCAAGAAAACATTTTTCTTTTCCAACGGGTTCTGGAGGTAGGATTCTTAACCTTGGTAATAACAAGTCAAACTTGCGGTGAAATATTTGGTTACACTGAATTCGCTTTCGATTTCCATTGATGGTGAAACTATGACAGCGCAGATCCCTTTCCTTTCTTACCCTTCCCCCCGATTTTAGAGATTAAGCAAATGGCTTCATGTATTGCTCAACTGCATGTACATACTCATCTGAACTAGTAAGGGGCAAATAGGGAGTATACATTTCTGGATTGTCCGCGAACTGAAATTACCTCCTACAAAATAGCAATATCCATGTTCTGTCTCTGTGAAACACGCCCCATGTTTTGCGCCTCGTTTTAGAGATAAAACTTTGAGTGGCAGGCGACCAGCAGGTGATATTATCTGTATAATTCCACCTGCTCCACCACCTAAACCGGTACCTGCACCCAACACTGCTCCAATGTTTTGTTTGCCATTTCCTCCATCAACAATGAGTTTTCCTTGCTCCTTTAGTTCAACCTAAAGAAAATAAAGACAAGTGAAAAGTTCAAAACCAAAACGTTGGATCAACCCTTAGTGTCTTGTCACATCTCAAAAAAGCAACATCCGTTTCTGGATGCGGATATCCGGATTTGGCGATTTTCCCAAAAAACGCAGACATACTCTCTGACTTTGTTTCTACCCTAGGAACGATGTTTCTTACATTCAAATTGAACTGTTTATTATTTAGCCATAAAGACGAAGTTTGAATCATTTCCTTTCTGAGTTATAAATAGATCCTATTTTAGCACTTGTTCTCCTAAATACTTCCTAACCCATTATCTGAGATAAGATTAAACTTTGTGATAAGAGAGACTCGATCATTTTTTTAAAGTAGAATCTGGAATAAGCATCTATGAAAGTTTTATTCAGAAATGGGGGTAGCAAAATTCGTGGAGATAAAATTAAAAATTAGTAGTAGTAGTTTTGCGGATTGGAAAAATAAACCTCATGTAGCATGTGGAGCTTACGAAATCATGGTGGCTAAACTCTTGACTACTGATGCACTTTTGCAGTCTGACTTCACCAACCTTAGAAACTCTGCTTTGTTAAGTGCTCGGTTTATCTATTTCTTGGTTTTCAAAAAAATATGCAATCAAATCAGTCTGTGTTCGCGTCTCGACCGCTATTCTTCTCACCAAAATCAAGTTGTATGAAAATGTTGATATTTCAGCCTCCGAACAACCTTACTCCATCTGAAAATGGAAGACGAGGCTTGAAGAAGTAACGGGGATTCAAGGGATCGTTGGCGCGAGTAATAAAAAGGCCTCCTCTATTGATTTTTACTTCTTTTGTTTGTTACTTGAGACAGCTTTACTTTGCCATGTATACAGTTTCGAACCTCTGCTATAGTTTAAAATCATCCGCGACGTTATGCACACCTTTTTAATACAGAGAAGAACTGCTCCTCTATTGAAAAGTTGAGGTTGTGGATAACATAAGTGTTCAGTATGGTAACTTCGAAAGAGGCAGTCCCGTAATTACAGCTAGTCAAACTTCGCTGCTATTTAAAAAAAATTACTGCGAATGTTGCAGACTGTTGTAGATACATAGTCAAACTTTGCCTTAAGGAATCCTGCTGTCAAAAGAAAAAACTAGCTACAAAAATAATGAGTCAATGTGAACTACACATTAAAGTCATGGATTACATGAGAAGCGTTAAGACGAATAAGTCCGCCAGATCCACCAGAACATGATTCCACTGTTTCACGCTGAGCTGAAGCTCTGATGATTGCATCTAACAAGTATTGAAATAAAATGTGTCATCGAAGAAACATATTCCTTATCAATAAATAATAAAACAAATGATAAAAGGAAATAATTGTATTTCCTGAAGGCGTGGCGTGAGCAGGCTGTTAATGAAATGTCGAATTTCTGCCGATTGGGTCATTTAAGAATCTTCTTCAAGGAACAGTTTTAAGACTGAGATAGATACAGGATGATAGGATGATTAAAACACAGCTTCTGAGTAAAAGACTAGCAGTGTTGCATAGAAATCAGGAAAATGAGTAATACACTAAATTACAAGGTCATCCGAAATGATGGTTATTGTGGGAAGCCGAGCACTATCTCTGCTCCTGTAGCAGTTGTTATTAGACGTATATTTTTCCTGAGCACGTTTCAGCCTTTCAGGGTTCTACGTTGTTAACAAGTTACATATCAAATAGTTTACAAAGAATTTGCTAATCGTTTATACTTATGGTTATGCATCCTTTCTCTGCTACAATTTCAACGGCTCCTCCACCAGCAACACTTCCTGGGCGATAAGTACATGAACCTGAGGTTAAAAGAAGTTAGAATTAACACCAAAAATACAAATTTTAAACATTCCGACAAAAATTTTATTTTCATCGTTGATAGGTAACATTCGTTTGTCTTTGCATACTTATATCAACTCTTTTTCGAGTTCATTTGTTGTATTCTTTTGTTGTAGATGGGATATTTTCTGGTTTAGTAGTATAGTAAGGATCGACTTGAACTTTTAAGGTAGGAATCTTTATTTGAATAAAATTATAAATGCGGTGGAATCTCATTATCTTCCCTTTTGTTTAATAAACAATACTCTCACCTAAACTTGACCGGTTGAACCTGTTTGTCATGTTCTTATGCTCTTTAACCGTTTTGAAAGGTTTTCTAGTAATTTTTAGGGCAATGACTCAGTCTTGGTTTTTAATTGGTGGACTTGAAGCTAAGAAAAATTTTCATTGGTTGATTCATGTTGTCGAAGGAATAAGCTTGTGAATAAAAATCACTCAGCCGTAAATTAACCATAAATGATAAATTTCCCACCACTGTCATTGTCCCTTGTAGACAGCTTATAGTCATGGTCCCGGTTCACTAATTCTTGGCGCGAAAATTGTACATGGTAAGGAGGATGAAGGCAAACTGGCTTTTTCTACCACCAAAAGATTTTTTTGCTTAGACTTCCCCCTCCACCACCACATTTCTACTGTTTTCCCTCCACAACACCCAGCACCACATTTCTATTGTTTTCCTTCACCACCACCACATTTCGAATATACATATTTAGCCAAAGCTAAAAGTGAAGTTCCCGTTTATGCATTTTAAATTTACTGCGGACAATGGACTTTAAACTATTGAAAAGACCACAAAACTATACTTAACTTTACGGAAAAACCATATGAGTTAAGACATAAACATGTGACACTGGTAAGCAGATACTGTTTTGATACCTGTCAATTGACCATAATATGGATCTCTATTATCAGGTTAAAACAGGTTACGGGCTCCCACACTAGCTAGAAAATTAGACATTTCACGTTTTGGTCTCCCTGTGGTACGGACGGACGGGTGGCTGGGCGTATGGTTAGTCGATCACGTGATTAACAAAATTTCTCGGATAGATAGATTACCTAATTTTCGTAGGTATGGGCTCGCGCGCGCGAACGTGAAGCTCCGCTTTAAATTAGCTAATCAATTAGAGTTACATACACACAGACTTTTATTAAACTCCCTCAAAGGGCTTTTAAGTTACAGGACAATAAGGCAAGAAAATTGTAAGAAAAAGGAATCAATAACAGTAATTTATAAAAAGAATAATAACAAAATAACAATAATGAATGAAATAAAACTTGCTATTTCGAATCCGGTTCTTGATTGGAAAGAGGTAGTTTGACAAGTCGCTTCTTAAACATGTTAACTGAGTCGGTAGATTTAACATTATCACTGATACCACTCCAAAGCTTTACCCCTCGGTAGGAGAATGACCGCTGACCGACAGCTCGATGGCATCTCGGAATGTTCAGCTGACTACTCTGTCTTGTACTTCTCGTGTGGTAGCACTGTTTCGTGTCGTGAAGAACAACCGTGATTTTCTTCAACTGTAAGCTGTTTATCCAGTTCATCAGCGACAGTTTCTCTTACGAACAGACACTCCATAACTCATGCATGCATTAGTCCAATGTACTTAACAAATACATTCCAATCCCCGAAGAAAAGGAAATTGTTGTCATATGTCATAAAAAGATGCTCTAGTAGACTAGGGGCTCCTAAGTAGAGCTAGCAAAAAAATTGTCTTCCACTTTACAAAGGAGCGAATTCTAGTCAAGTCGGTGGTCCCTGTTGTTACAAGCTTAGGTTTTTTGATGCTATAAAAGAGGAAACGAAGCTATTAGTTACTTATTCGAAGCCTCCCTTCCACCGGCACTTCTCGAGATGAAGAAAAAGATAGATTTTGCTGATAAAGAGCACAATAGTGAAAAATGAAAGAGCGGAAGTTTCGATGATCAAAGCGGTAATAAAGAGCCAACGATGAAAGATCTTTTGAGTAGCCTTTCCCAAGCGAGCTGATGTTACTGAGGTTTTTAAAGCTGATGCTAAAGATGTAGTCAAAAATTATCGGTCTATTTCATAACTATCCATTCGGAGTAAATGTCAAGAGAGGATTGTGTATAATGCTATATACCCGCATGTGGCTCCTTATCTGACAGATTAGCAGCATGGGTTTGTGAGGGGACGTTCATGTGCTACTCAGTTAGCATCATTGACCATCAATGACCACCTTGAATGAGGGCAAACAGATGGAGTTGGACTTCTTGGACTTTGCAAAGGCATTTAGCAGAGTGGCACATAATACTCTGCTGCAAAAAATTGGGTGATTTTGGTATCTCCGGTGCGCTTTTGAATTGGTGTAAGGATTATCTCACCTACGGAGAACATAGAGTTGTCACAGAAGAAATGAATTCTACATGATGAGCTATTCCATCGGGCGAACTTCAGGGCTCCTTATTGGGCCCTTTGTTTTTTGTAATTTTCATTAGTGATTTGCCTGGAGTAGTAATGCCTGGAAACTGTGTGTCATTATATGCTGACGACTGCAAAACATCCAGGCCTATTCACTCTCACTTATACTTAAATAATAATATCCTGGAGCTAAGATCTGGGTTCCGTGATCTTGGCTTGGTTACCGTTTGCAATCTGTCTTGGAACATTCATAGTGATAAAATATCGAATAAGGACAGCAAGATTCTAGGTCTAATTAAAAGGACGTGTAAAGGATTTCAAGATGTTTCCACACTGAGAACTCTGTATCTTGCCCTGGTAAGATCACAGCTAGAGAGTTGTAGTGTTGTGTGGTCACCACATACAGCTAGAAATATTTCTAAGTTGGAGCGAATTCAGCGAAGAGCAACTAAGTTTATTTTGAAGACCAATGATGATTACGGACAACGAAGAAAAAAGCTCAATTTGTTGTCCTTAGAACAAAGGCGATTTTTATTTGACGTATTATTCCTGTATAAAGCCCTGAATGGCTATATAAATATTGATCTATTTACATACGTACAGTTTTTTTCAGATTCTGATCGGTATCCTTTAAGGGGAAAAGATGAATGTACTCTTAAAAAGAATCATGCTAGAACTTGTACATTTTATTGATTGTTTTTTATTGTACATATCTCTGTATGTATTTTTACATTTTTAATTGTCTGTCTTTTAAACTTAGTTTTTATTATATGAATATTTTTAAAAGATGGTCTGTATTCTATGGGGTCTTCGACTCTTTTACAGACCGTCCTTATGGAAATGCCTTTCTTTTTATCACTTACTTGAAACCTTTGCCATTAAATTTTTATATTTTTTTATGCGGTGTGTAAAGAGCATGCTTTTGATTTTCTATATAGCATGGCAGCTTCTAGAGATTTCTATTATATTCTGGACTCCCTGAGGACAGTTACTTCGAAATAAACGCATAATTCCAGTGACAAACATTACCGAGCTAGTTGAGTGTGTTCAACGCCAGTTCCTCATAACGATTATGTGCGTTGAATGTTTTCATAGATGGACTTTGGAGTTTGGAGTCGATAAGGGCTTAATCAATAACAAAGAATTGATTGATAGAAAAAGAATAGAGTCCTTTTAGATTTCTAAGGCGAGTACAACTACGAGTACAAGATTTCCTCAATACTAATTAGTGCGCGCGCGTGAACCAGCGTCATTTTGGCGGGAAAAAATGATAGTCGTTGTCATTCTACTACGAGTTTTAGCGAGAATGTCGTGTTAGCGGACACAAGTTATGAAGAATTACAGGCTGCATTATTTTGCGGCTGAGAGATATCTTAACCTCTTTCATAAAGAAACAAGTGCAAGTTTTGGTGAAAAGATGTACAATGAGGCTATCCGGGGTGTCTATTAGTCATTATTTGAGAATACGCGAAAACCAAGAGAGGATAAAGGGGACAGAGAAGGCATCCCCCATACACACCCTATTCCATAGGTAATTCGTCTCGAGTTATTTTTAGAATCGGGATAAGGTTACCTCGCGCGCTGCGTGGATGTTTCGTGGAGGTTTCGCATGACTAAACGCGGTGCAAAGCTTGTCGCGCGAAAGGCAATGAAAGCGTCAAGAGATCGAGAGCATTCCTGAATATTGAAGCGAAATGAGTCGGCGCTCACCTGGGAAAAGGGAATCGCTGGACTCTTTGACAACCCATGAAATCAGTCTCGCCGGTCTATTGAAACCGGTCATTTGTATAATAAAGCAAGTAAGACGCCAAGTGTTTTTTTTGTTAAATAATAAAAGACTAGTAAAAGAATAAACAGCCAAAGCAGAAATTACTCTCTTCAAACTGTAAATTGTAAATGATCCTGAGAGAATAGTCAGTGTGTTGAGGATTTCCCTGCTGTACTGTTAGCTCTATACAAGAGAGGAAGGGCGATTCTTTTTTGATTTCCGTTTCGCTGACACAGCTTTAGCAGAAATCTCTCTGCAGTCGTTTTCGTCGACAAGACGAACAGCAATATCGCTCTCTGCGTCTTTCGATATTTCGTTCCGCGTCAATTCGTGAAGGGCGCGTGGCTCTGAGCGTGGGCCATCCACGCACAACACATTCGCGCTATGTGATTGGCTGTTGTCTAATCCCCCTTGAGATTTGTGGTGTTAAAAATAACTCGAGACGAATTACCTATGGAATAGGGTGTGTATGGGGGGTACCTTCTCTGTCCCCTATATCCTCTCTTGGCGAAAACACTTTAAGTGAAATCTCGTACTCGTAGTCGTTCTCGTCCTAGAATTTAAAGGTCTCTAATAACGCTACCAAAATGGAGAAAATACTTCCGAGAACGAGGGTAACGTGGAAAGTTCATCGGATAGAAAGGAAGAGGGAGGACAGATAGCTTCTACGAATGGCACTGAAGCCGAAGAAACCCACGTGAGCGACAACGACACTGAAAACGACAGTGAGGAAACAGAAAGTAATACCCTAGAGTGGACCACCACGTTTCACTCTGACAATCCCAGTGAACATGGTCAGAATGCGAATGTGTACGAGAACATTGATCATGGGATGTAGTGAGTAATGTAGCAGCTGCTTGTAAGAGAAGTCAGATACCGGCACCGTAGAAATGACTTATCGACGTGCTGAAGCAAAACTAATTACGTGAGAATGACTAGACAACTGACAATTTGACTAACAATAATCGACTGTTTAAATGTGACAATAGATGGATCGAAACGCACCAATGACATTACGAGTCTTCATGGCCAATAACATCACGGCTTAACTGACAGACGACCAATAACACCGCGACTTAATTGACAAATCAGGTCAATAACCAGAGTTTTATACCATCAACTGCCGTGATACATCTACCGATCTCACTTTGACTCTGAATATGACTACCGCACAGGTTGTCTAAACGTCAGTCACTGTCAACAACAATAACAGTCATTCAGGACTACGTTCACCCGGACGATCATACTTATCCTACTTATGAAATGACTCCTGGCTTGAAACCTTTCACAGTCATAACTACTTTACTTGCAAAAAACAGTTTCCAGAATTTTAGTAAAAAGTAGTTGAAACGCAGTTAATTCTTCTAATATAGGCCTGATTTGTCGTAGTGAGTATGCCGTAAGGTACAGTAATTGAAGTGTGCCCAAAGTTTTTCTTCACCTGTTTTTTTTCTCTATTAACCAATTTCCATTACAGCCCTCATTAGTACTTAGATCATAGCCACAAACTGATTTTAAAATAGTTTATCTCACCTCCGCTTCCTCCTAATAGTGACACTGTGTCCTGTTGATCATATGTTTGATCTGAATAAATGGCATAACCCGGACGCATTGCTATTCCGCCATGACTAGAACCAGGTACGCAAACAAGGTCCAAATTAAACTCTACGGCTTTTCTGAGGCCACCAGGACCAAGACCTGTAAAGAAAGTAAAAATCATTAAAAATGCCCTGTTTACAAAACTTAACCAACACCAAGAAGTCTTATTCAGTCGTCAGAGTATAAGAAAAGTGGTATTTTATCGGACTTTAGAAATGGAGGAAGGAATTCAAGCAGCGCATGGTTTTTATTGAATAGTACTTCACTCTCTCCTTCTCCACCCAGTTGTAAAAAGAAGTACCACACGAAATAATCAGACTGCCCCTTCCCTGTGATGGACTAGCATTCTATTCGGGAGAGTAATACTAAGGATGCGACTTACCGACTTATTAAAATTACGAGAATTTGATCAGACATAAAGAAAAAATATTTAGTAATTGAAATATCCTCGCTACGTTTGTGATCTTGAAGAAATATTTACCTGTTGTAAGAACATAGCCTTTGCAAAAATAAGCTTTAATTAGGCTGTATAAGGTTCGAAGATCAGCATATTTAGAATTTTTAGACACTCACAAAACGTAACAATGAAACGTTACAAAAAGGCGTTAATTATAAAAAAAAAAAAAAACAGCATATAATTTAAAGGGACAATTCAAGGAAGGCAAAAGAAGCTGGGAGCTTGCAATTGAATGTTACTCAAATGGCCAAGGAATGATTGAAAACCAGCCATAAACGACCTTTTCCCTGACCAAAGCAGTGATTAATGACTATTTGTAAACATCCTCCCTAGTAGCATGGATTTCTATTCCTCTTGTCCCTGTTGCGCTAAACAAATTGTGGTAATAAATCGGTCATAGCTAATATGACTTAAGACCTCAGTTGTGGCATGAGTTTGAGCAATTTTTTTTTGGCATTTCAAAACGTTGAATCCCTCTAAACTATCAGATTATATCACACTGAGTTTCCAAAGAAACCAATTTTGCCTCATGGTTGAGTATGAATTTACCTCCGACGGTTAAACATTAAAGAGACTCAGCGATTTACTGTTCGTAATTATACCGTCTTATTATACCTTGTACCCACCTCTCAGGAAGTAAGTGTGAAAGCAAGAGCAAACCAAATGCAAATGTGAGAAAGGCAAATAAAAGCATCTTCTCTTACCTTTATATAGGAGTTTAGGAGGGTGATTAACATCTTTCAACGCTACTGATGACTGTGCGAACCCACCGAGACATGTTTCATCCAGCACCATCTCTGTACACGTCATGTTAATATCAGTTTCTATTAAGATGTGTCCATTCTGACTTGTTATACTCAGACCATACTTCCCAAATACTTGGACTGTTGAACCGTTTCTGAACTCAATGTTACCACTGATCCTAATCACGGCAGCCAGATGTTCACCGTGCGTGCTTGAGGAAGATCTGTTTTCATGTGATGCGTTGTAATTGCAACTGGAGCAGTTGTTATTAACTATGGATGGTGCAGTTGTGTTGATCTCCAGGACTTCACCGACTCCTATTATGAGATTACCTGCTAAAAAGGAAATAACAATAATGAAAAATGTTTGGATTCAGGACGGTGGGTGGTGGTCTGAGCAACATGCAGCGAAGCAAGGATCAAGAAGGCTGTTATATGTGGGAGGGGGGCGGTTAAAGAAAAATATTTGACTTCATTTTCGGCGGATTTGAGCTGACTGGAGATCAAAAATCTTAACACAGCTCCCGGTATCAGCTCGGAGTCAAAGTTTTCTCTAGAGAGCCGTGTTGTCTTCACTATACGGGGGAATACAACAAAATTGGCGCTTAATCACCATTCTCGTCCCCAGAGCCCCTCGGTTTTAATTGACCAAAAGAAGCGATGGGCTTTGAGAATGATGGTAAAGGGTATATGTGCCCATGCGCAGTGAAGGAAACCGGCGTCAAAACAGGCTAACGGCTCAATTTCCGTACGTTATAATAACTTATTAGACATTGTTACTCCTATTTTAAAGTCGTGTAATTGTGAAGATCCGTGCAATAATCGACCTATTGTCGACTATTTCACAGCAAGTAAGACATTGGCTAAAACTCAAAGTTGTGACCGAAAGCTTTATTCAACTGAGACTGCCCTTCTATGTGTTACAGACGACCTGTTGCAGGCAATTGATGATAAAAAGATCTCAGCTCTAGTGTTACTCGACATGGCAAAGACATGATATTCTATTGCAGAAACTACAAGCTCTTGGTGTCTCCTTTTTATGCCGTGACTGGTTCCATAGCTACCTTGTTGGCCGCAGTCAAAGAGTACGCATCCATGATGCTATCTCTGATGCACTTCCCCTGAAATATGGGGTCCCTCAGGGATCAATATTGGGTCCAGTCCTGTTTACTATTTATGTAAATGACCTGTTGTCTGTCCCTTCTTACTGCAAATCGGCCTGTTATGTTGATGATTCTAAACTGTACCTGTCCTTTCCCTCGTCTGACATTTCCACTGCAATTCACAATCTAAATGCGGACCTGGAACAAGTCTCCAGATGGTGTTGCCAAAACTCTTTATTGGTAAATCCTGATAAGACTTAAGTTTTAATGATCGGTATGCCTCAACTCCTCAATAAGCTGCCCACAGCATCTGTTTGGATGCTTGGAAAAGGAATTACACCCTCTACTGTTGCTAAAGATCTTGGCATTTATATTGACTAATCACTAACTTACAACGAACACATTGCTAAAACACTCGTACAAATCAATAGAATAAAACACTTGCTAGATAAGAAAACAATACTTCTCCTTATGAGCTCTTTCATTTTAAGTAGGTTATATTATTGCTCAACTGTTTGGTCAAATACTAGTAAACATAACATCAACAAACTTCAGTTAGTGCAGAATTTTGCCACCCGTGTTGTTCTTGGCCTCAAAAAGTTTGATCACATCTCTCAAGCTAAGAGACAATGTTAAATCTTCAGATTCTGTCAAAGTTCTTAGGAAAAAATTGTCAACATACTTTTCTCTGATTAATCTATGAATTTGTAAATAGTGAGTGATCCATCGTATTTCATTTATTTTTTAACGTATATTTATTATCATAGTTATTTGGTAATTTATTTAGCTATTTTAGGAAAGAAGCAAAGAATTATCAGCTATGTTGCAGGCCATGCGGTTGCTCTTCTATACAGTGGAACCCCGCCATACGACCACCCCGTTATTACGACCACTTTTTTGTGGCCCGAACAAAAGCCCACTCATTTTCTTATCTGAAAACCCCGTTAATCCGACCACCCCGTTATTACGACAAACGAACACCTTTGGGAGTCCTGAATCGTTATTTTCTTTATAAAATTACCCCGTTAATACGACCAGTCAAAATGCTTGGTGGGGCTGCTGAATGAAAACAGACACAATCTGACAAACAATAACGCATTACTAATATTTCATTGAATGCTTTTAGGCAAAGGTGTTAGCATGACATCCGGTAAATTGCAGTGTTCAGTAAAAAGGATGCATGAATAAATAATACAAAAGATCTGAAAGACTTCACTTTGCAGCATTTCGAGGCTCTCAAAGTTATATTGCCTTCCTGTTTCTGCTGCCTTCCACTGTGGCTTTTCTCTTCAAGTCCATTTCCTGTTCTTTTCTCGCAGATCGGTTATTTGGAATGTCTAATAATTTGTTAAGCATATCAATGTTTCTTGGCTGATCATCAGTAAACTTGTAAACTCATGAGATTTCCATCCCGTATCCTCCCCCACGTTTCAGTATTGCATTGAATTGCGGTTGTAAGGTTGTTAATTAACTGCAAAAGGGTTTATTTATAGCGGATTAAAGGTATACATGTAGTAGAATGTAGTTTAAAAGCATTTTGCACCATAATTTGACCCTACCCCGTTAATACGACCACCCCGCTAATACGACCAAATTTCCATGGCCCGAAGGTGGTCGTATTAACGGGGTTCCACTGTATTGTGCAAATAAGCCGGCTGTTGTAAGAGAAAAATTTGTCAAAATTGTGACAGGTTTACCTGGAGTACCCGTGACGGAAGAACTGAATTTCTTTGAAAATGAATATTCAAAGAATCAATTGTTTCCACCGATATTGATACTTTTACTAAACATGTAATTTTCTTCTTTCATTTTCTTTAACAAAGGGTCAAATTAGCCGTTAGAAGAAGGACACTGTCTCCTAATCCTGTCATGATACAAACACTAGCTGTTAACAATGTTGACTTTCACTTAGCCTATACCAAACATCAGACAGTAGAAAGAGATATATTCAGTGCACAGCTTCAGGCAAACACTGACGTCTTGCGTTGTTTTGACAGATCGTGCAGTCAGTAAAAGGATGTGTCAAATTCATACATTTCAACATAAAAGGCTCTGGCTTGCAGTTATGCACACGCATCTTAAACAGTTGTGTGTTTGTTTAGGCCTGAAAGTATTTAAAACTCACCCTTTAACTGGATTTGCACCCTCCCTATGTAGGTACGTTGCTGCAGCCAAATGAACTACTAAACCAACTGCGAGCAGCTAGTCATATGTAATGTCGTAAAGTACCCATCGTGAAGTAAAGTCGTGTAAAAGGGTATAAGAAACTTGTATATTTGAACTGGCTTTCAACACACAAAATATCTCCTCAATTAATAAAAGTTGTCTGTACCGTTCGTGATGAAACGAAACGAATTTAACGGAAGCATAGGGGCTTTATAATTTGTTTAAGGACCAAACTCCTGTAAATTATTTAAGGAGATCATCTTAACTGGTGTATAAGTTAAGAAAATGAGACTGCAGGATCATTTCATTCAAAAACTGATCATAATTAAACTATGACACTAAATAATCCCTTCCTGAAATAGAGTAGGGATACTACGAAGACTTTTCAAGTTTTGCCTTGGATTCCAATCGAATGGTCTACCACACCAAAAACATTTTAATTAACACTTACCGTTAACAGTTGCCTTTGTACCAGCTAGGAGACTCTGTAAAGAAAAGTTAAAAAGAGCATCACAAGCTTGGAGAAAACGCTTTTGCCTGACTAAATGGCAGTTGGAAATATGAAAAAGATAACACAAACCTGTATTATTAAAAGAATTTC